AATGGAGGGCTGTGCGGCCCTCCAGAAAAAAAAAAAACACCCCACACCATTACTGACCCACTGCCAAACCAGTCAGGCTGAAGGATTTTGCATGCAGCAGATCGCTCACCATGGTGTCATCAGACTCCTTCACGTCTGTCACATGTACTCAATATGAACCTGCTTTCATCTGAAGAGCACAGGGCGCCACCAGTGGTGAATTTGCCAATCCTGCTGTTCTCTGGCAAATGCTAAATGTAATGCAGAGAGTTGGGCTGTGGACATCGGGCCCTGATACCATCCACATGGAGTTGGTTTCTTAGCATTTGTGCAGACACATGTATGTTTGTGGCCAGCATTAAGTCATTTTACTGCACTACCTGATCTACTTGTGTGGGTTTTAGAGTCCGTCTGATGCTACCACGAGTGTGAAAGCACCAGTGACTTAATATAAGTCACTGGTGACTTAATATAAGCCATAAAGCATAGGTACTGAGAATTGGTCTGTTGTTCCGCCTCCTTTATTGAATGTGTCTTGCTAATTGCCAATCATTTCCACCTGTTGTCTATTACATTTGCAGAACAGCACGTGAAATTGATTGTCAATCCGTGTTGCTTTCTAAGTTTGACTTCACTGATGTTTGATTTATTGAAGTTATATTGTGTTGTGTATGTGTTCCCTTATTTTTTTAAGCAGTGTATATTTGCATATGAACTTCCAGCTCCCTTCTACTGGGCCTCCCTTCACCTCCTCTCCCACAGTGAATGGTCAGGGATAAAGTAATGATCCCATTTCACCAACGCATCTAATACCACCCACCATAACCTCATCATTAAACAAGGAGAGAACGCAGCCCTGTTTAGTTCACAGGTCACCCAGGACGACCAATCTCAGTGAGATGCTTATCGCACACAGCTGAATCTGAGAGGCGTTAATTAGGCGAGTGTGTACGTGGGAGTGAATAAAGGGAGACAAAAGAAAAAGAACAAAATATGCAAGAGAGACGGATGTGTGCATTCATCCAAGTAACATATATTCCTATATCTTCTGCATCCCCCCCAGGATAATGTATGATAAGGTATGCCATTAATTGGGCTATTAGCCATGCAGCTGAGCTCATGAGCGATGCCCCCTGTCAGTCACTAAGGGGTTACAAGCGAGGTTATCTTTTAAGGGTCAAAGACCTCTTGTTTATATTTGACTGAGTTTCCCCAAGGGGACAACTATAAAAAAATTAAACCCATAGCTCCACCTTTACATTTTAAAACAATGCTGATAAAGCCGTAACACACAGTATTATTACAAAACCAATTAATCTTTAGCATTAATCTCTTTATACCTGCTTAAATAATGCTTTAACTCTTCCCCACAAAGACTGTTCTTTAAAATCAGACTGTGTTGGTTAAAGGTGCCAGCTCTCTGCTCCCAAAACAGAGGATTAATCACTTATTGCTCGTCTGCGGTGGCACACTTCGTCACCAAAGCGGCCAAACATGACTGAACTTTCACACAGCACCCGACTCCTTTTGAAGTTGAGCATTGTGTAACCTAATAAGCTACCGTTTTCTCAAAACATCTGCTTGTCAACCTGGCTTTCAACTCTGTGCCTTTGCCAACCAACCTAAAGTCTGCGTGTGTGTGTGTGTGTGTTCGGATGTGTGTGGTGGGGATTTACAGATGGGAAGAAAGAAAAACAGCAAACTCTCCTTTTGAATCCTCCCTTTGAGGAACAAGGTGCAATTATGGTCAAATGATTGTAATATTTCAGCGTGTAACACAATCGAGAAGAAAAGCTTTTTATTCTGTTGTGTAAACACCACTTAACTGTGTTTTGGATCTTTAAGCTTGCGAAGGGAAAAGTGCTTGAACTTCCAAAAACATTTTTGCTGAATGACAAAGTTTTAAAGGAAGCTATAACTCTGTTTGGAGAGATGAATTAGCCTTGATTTAAATGGGCTGAGGTGACATCTTCTGATGTTAAACACATGGGCCTAAAAAACAAACTGGGAGGAAAATCAAAGAGGACAAGATGTAGTGACTGGGGATCACAGGAGAGGGGAGATTATAAGAAAATATAAGAAACTGAGAAAACAGATGTTTTACGTGAATATCTGCTCTTGCTCTGCAGACCAAAGCACTACAGTACACAGCAGGAATAAGGCAGCTATGGCAACCTGAGCCACAATAGCCCTGGGCTCTAACGAAGTGGGCTGCTCTTTTTTTTCCCTTCAATGTGGTTTTGATAAAAGCCAGTTTGAAGGAAGTAAAGGCTTGAACTGATCAGGTTGTGCTGTGTTCTTGAAACAATATTTTCCTCTACTTTGATTTGTTTAAGTCATGAAAAACTGCATAAAAAAGACTGATAATATCTAAACCTTTCTGTACCCAGAATAATTTACAGCGATCAGCTGGAGACTAGAAGTCGTGGATTCTATGCTGTAGATGTTACTGTTCAGCGGGTTTAAGTATATAAGTAAATATTTTGATGATACCAAATATCAACCTTGCCTGCCTTGGGCCATCCAGCCAAAAGTAAATTCACAAGAAATGATTAATCTATACACACATACATGAGCCATTTCTTTTAAATATGAAATGTAAAAGCTCTAAAGTGCCAAATTCAAATCTATGGAAGCCCGTTTGATTTTTGTTCAGGCTGCAAGAGAAAGAAGCAATTTAACTAGATAACGCTAGCTGTAGTTATAGCTGTGGCGTTTTTATATTTCAAATAAGATTTGTTCGAACCTTCATAAAATTTTATGCGGTTTAAAAAAATTAATGTGGTGTCTAAAAAAAAATGGTGCATCAGAAGTAAAAACAAAGAGGAGAAACAAAAGAGCTTTAACAGCAACAGGAAGGCTTGCAGGATTACATAGCGTCTATTATTTGATGTTGTTCTTTTTTAGTCTATCTGCATTGGAATATGAGGCATCTGGAAAGGTTGGTGGCCAGGACTCTAAGGAAATGAATATTTACAAAAACAAAGTTATTACAGCCAACAAAGTTAATTGCTAATTAAAACTAAAAGTGCTAAAGAATCCAAAAGTCCAGATGGCAAATACACAGTACAAAAAAAATAAAATAAAAAATAAAATCAACAGTATATCTATATATAAGCAGTATAAACTGAGAGGTTGAAAGGTTTAGTCTAAATCTGGATTCTGTGAGAGTGCCTTCTTGTGGTCAGAAGGTAGCGTTGCTGGTGACTGTCGCAGAATAAACATATTGAAATTAAATTAAACTGAATCAGAGCATCTTGAAGGATAAATACTGTAATCTACAAGCAGGATCAAAAATTGAGCACCACTTGTTGGGCCATGTAGAATAAAAAGCCCTCTGTTATTAAGTTACCGTATATCACACAAAAACCATAGCCTTAGCTATCAGTATGCGAGTATTAATCTTCTAGGGATACAATTCCTTTGTGAACTAAACTTAACAATATCCTAAAACACTGTATGGCTGTAACCTTTCATGTTAACAAGTCAACGCGCTGTGGACAGTGTCATTTTAGAAACACCAACTAATCAAAATTGGAAGTAACCCCATTTATCACTGCTGTGTGGATTTATGCACTAATAATATTATGCTGTGTAATATTTTGTAGTTACATGCCAATATAGCACATATAGCTGTGTTTAAGATGTTTGAAGTCACAAAGGGAGACTGAAGCATCATAATTGACCGTGGAGAAAGAAATGACAGAAAAAAATCTGGTTTATGTGACAATTGCAATATTTACCATTAATGTCAATATTATGCGGTTTCCTGATATATTGTCTGCTAGGAAGCAGATAACCAAACTGAAAAACTAAAAAAAAAAAAACTGGCCTCCCAAAGAACCGAAAAAAAAACAATCCTTGCAATTAAAAAAAAAAAGGCCCAAATTTCCCCCAAAAAAAATATATATATATATCTTATTCCCATGTTAGGTTTGGTAATATAAACTTCTGTTGTGCATATGTGGATTTATTTTTCAAACTGATCATAACTTTATGTTAGTCCAGGGGCTGTGGAGAAAAGGCTGCAGGTAAAAATTCCTTGCCTCCCCCTCATCTGTGTGTTCTGTGACAAAGTTGGGTGGAAAAGAGAAATATTAAACGAAGGGAAGGTCAGAAGAAGGCAGGAGAAAGGAAACTGATTACCTGGGCAGACTTGGCAAGCTTCTGACTGTGCTCCTTCTCAATCTGCTTCAACCTGCTGTTTGTCTGCAACAAGAAAGAGGAGAGGGGCGGGTGTGAGAAAGAGATATGCAGGCAGGTGGATGGAGGGACACAAAGAGACATGACTGAGAGGTGAAATTCAATCTTTAGTTAGGAAGTGCACAGAGACACATTGCCCTCCCCAAACTGATCCGCTCTCTCTCCCACACACAAACACACCAATGTTGACCTCTATCTGTTGGCAATGTGTCCCTGTGGCCCCCTGGCACCGCTCCAACCTTAACGCCTGTGTGTGCCAGAAGGTAGTGACGGCCACGCTGCCCAGAGGGTACTGGTCTCTTTTCATCTCCAACCAACAGTCCATCACTTAACAAGAAAGGAGGTGTTGGAGGGGTGAATTAAAATGTTGCTGCCAATTAGCCCCAGAGGAAAAAAAAAAAAAAGAATGTGATGATGGAGTAAGCTTCAGGACTGTTGTAACAGTTTGTTAGATCAGTTCTGATCTTATTTCTTTTCTTTTTTTATTTGTTTTAACATCTATAAGTTGAATACAATGCTCTAGATAATGCATATTAAATGCAGACTTAAGTATTTCCACATGTCCTTAAAAAATTGATGTTTGGGCTTTTAGTTCATAGTTGTATCAATTTCAAAGTCTAAAATCAATGTAAAACAGGAAAGAAACAAACGACTACAGAGACAGCAGCTCAAACAAACAGAAAAGGGATGCCTTTATGTGAAGAACACCAAATATAATTCAATTTACGGTTTATAATACGTGTGGTTGAAAGGGAGCCAAAATATTGCTTATTTGGCTCATATAATAAAAAAAAAACAATTTAGTGAGCAGGTATAACGTTGGTTTAATAATGTGATCATGAACTTCAGCAGATGTTTTGTATTGATAGGGGACAAAAAAAGTAAAGCACATTTTCATGATTTAGAAACTGTGCTCACAAACATCAATGTTTGACAATACCTGTCTTGAATTGGGGCATACTTTAAAGCAAAGTTTGCAAAAATAAAGGTTACACAAATAGGCAAGATTTGTCTTAAAAAAAAAATAAAAACAGCCATACATTAAGTTGATTTATTGGTGTTGGAGATGGTAACTGTTGTAAAGCAAACAATCAGATTTTACCAGCGACAGGTAGTAGGAAGTATAAAGGCTGGACACCAAAGGCTCTTTTTTGATCAGGAAACAGTTTAATTCAAGGAGATTTTGTGTTGAAATCCACGACATGATCTGTAATTAATGATACAAAGATTTATTTAAAATTTTTCTGCCAAACATGTTTACATTTTTACGGCTTGTCGCTCTCAAATATAAGATGAACCATTTGAAAATATATTTTTTAATTTCTTTAAATCAGTAGTAATCTATGGCTTCTTTTGGTAGAAACAGAATAATTACACCAGGACACTTCATGGTCATAACCCTGGAGTCCTAACAGACAGATAACTCTGGAGCAAACACTGCTCTATTGAACACACCCCTTACAGCCATCAACACCTAAGCTGCATTCAGCCTCTGCCCCCAATCCAAACACTTCCTGACAAACACCGCCGTCCGCTCTGAACGGACACACCTGTCACCATGGCTACAAAGAGCCGTCACCAAGGACACAGACCTGTCTTCCTGTGCCAGGATTCTTTGAGTGGCGGCCCCGCTTGTCCCTAGGGGCCCTGCTGCACCTGATGAGAGCCGGGAGGACAAAGAAGGGTGGAGGAAAAAAAAAAAAAAAGCAGAAAAAGAAATGTGCATGTGGGAGAGGGGAGGTGCAAATAGGGCTCTTATTCTTTACATTTGATGTATTTGTTTGCTCCTTTTGACTGTGGCAGCGCTGCAGCTTTGCTGAATAAAACTCTGGTTGTCAGTTTATAAGACAAATTTGGCAGGAGGTGAGATTTCTTAACCGTTTCTTTCAGAGGCACTAGTTTTGCAGTCTAAATGAAAGCAAAAAGATGAGACATAAACGCGGCTGAGCAGCAAAAAAATATACTTCATTTCAATTGGTTGTGAATTAATGAGGCGCTTGCTGTACTGTAAATGACTTGGCCTCACATCTAAACACATTCACAGAGACACACTGCCATACTGACAAGCAAACGGGCTCAGATGTTTCATAAAAACATAAAGAGGCAGCTACTAGCCTATTCCCTTTACTTACAGTCACCCAAGGGAAGGCGGCAGACAGCACTGTGCAACATCAAGCATTATAGAAACCAAGCATCTAAATACACATTAAGAAATGGCTGGGAGTAGACCGAGATGTGGATGGAACATGTGAAGAGAACAACAACAAAAAAAATGGCCCCGCTGGACTGTGAAAAACAGAGCTAAATTAAAAGCCCAGCCATATGTGTGTGAGTCTGGAAGAATTTTCAAAGAGACTACCTGTGCCCTGCCAAAGGCATTTTTGTGCTGAAGGCACTTTGAGGCTGTATCAGGCTCTTCAATCGCCTCTTAATCCTGGCGGTGTGGAGTGCAGCTGCTTTGAAGTATGTGTGTGTACAGATACCTTGTGGATGTGTGTGTGTGCGTTAAAGAGAGTGGAAGTAGATCTGAAGGCAAGGCATGCACCACTTATGAGAACTTAATTAATAATCTGCAGTGGGAGTCAGGCCAAACGCACACATACACAGACAGACAAAAGGACGCGCTACACAAAGACTGACAGGAGTGGCAGAGGGACAACTTTCTCCAACATGCAAAGACTTAAGTCACAGTTGCTCAAACACCTAATGGACAAACAGAGGGTCTGAGTTTGATCCACAGCCGTTTAGAAAAGGTCCACTCAAGGTGTGCATTCCAGGAACGCTTTATTGAATTGCTGCTACAGGCAGGTAAGAATTTCTCTGTAGAGCTGTGTGCCAACACATGTTAACTTCTGGAGTTTGTGGGAGCGAAAATAAACCGATCTCTTTTCATAGAGCTTTGAAAAAAAAATCTAATAGATTTATTTCTACTTTTTCTGAAGGATAAACTCTCAAAACGACACACAAAATGTATGTGATGTCACCTAAATACACTTGTTACATGCCCAGGTAACAAAACTGTCATGTAATCTGCTCTGAGGTGTACTGTAATTCCCTCAACTGATCTCCCTACAGTGCAGAAGTAGTGGTTGAAAATTTGAATGACATTTAAAGCAAAGGGTTAAGTTAAAAAAAAACAGAGGACAATCTATGGCGGCCACATCAAAAGATGTTTGTCATATCAAAACAAACAGTAAGAATTATAGCATTAGCCTGGCAGACGAACAAATTAGTCTGTAAAAATTCCTAAGATAGTAGAAGCCAGACATAAGCTGCATGAGTCAGTTAAGAGATGCGTTTACAAACAAAGAAAATAATATCTATTTATTTCATTTAATATTTTTATGGTAATCCTCTGTAACTATACAAAAGTTTAATGGAAGTTACCTTATGTTGCAGCAGAAATAACAAAATTTTGAAATATAAATCTTCCTGAACTTTGCTGACCTAAATTGGGACTGACAAAAAACAGTTTTCTCATTTTGTAATGTAGTTTGATTTTCATTTAAAAAAAGCAATGTATTGATATATGTTTGATGGGTATCATGGTGAGATGCAAAAAGAGAACAAATTATGCTGTAAAATACATTCAAAAAAAATAAAAAAGTACCCACTGTTTTTCAGTGTAGTCCTGTTTCTCTGACTGTGACTAAATGTATGCCCTCTGTTTCATCCTCTGACATGGGACCTGGCTCGGAGATCGTCTGCCTGGCTGTGTTTTTCATGGACAGGGCCGCCCTTTACAGCTGCTTTTTGTATGTCTGCTTCTGTCTCCTTGAACCCCAGTTGACCTCAGCAGATGGCCGCTCACACTGAGCCTGGTTCTAATGGAGGCTTCTTTCTGTTAAAAGGGAGTTTTTCCCCTCCACTGTCACTACAACCATGCTAGGTGTGAAGTATTGTCTTTGAGTCAATGAGTCAATGTAATCAACTGGATTTCCTTAGACAGAAAACTTTGTATAAATTTGACTGTATGATCTGGTTGAATTGTCTCTGCAAAGTGCCTTTAGACAATGTCTGTTGTCCATTGGCGCTATATAAATAAACTGAATTAAAATGAAACATGGCAAAGGGTTATGGTGTCCTATACTATTTAAACCCAGAGAGGAACATGTGTTCAACCTTTTGTACTGAGAGGCTGACACTTTTAGCAGAGATCCTCCTCTGCACATTAACCGATGTGAAGCTACACAGCATTCTGGAGTAGCAAACAAGCAAACCAGGCTCACTGTTACTGCCTGACAAGTTGTTATCGCAACCAATACATCAAGCTTTGCCTTGTTAAAGATAATATGCTTCCTTAAAAAGAATACAACATACAAAATATTACAGGTGTTCATTACAGTTACAGATCAGCAGATTTTAAACTGACAGTGACAGTTATTTCACAATAACTAATCAAAATCCATTCTGGCTTTAAAAACCTTTTCATATTAATAATAGTGTTGTACTCACACCTGTACTTTTGTTGTTTCACTGCACAAAAAACACTATCTAGAGATGGTTGTAATAACTGAAAGCCTATGATGAAAAATGTTTGCAGTTTTGCACACAATCTCCTCATTAACTTTTAGCCTAAAAAATGTCTTGATAGCTCGAGTTTTTCCTCCCAAGTATCCTCAGGTTGTATTCAGCTTTATTCACCAACTCTGCTTAATGGGAGGCTTTACCATAAAGTCTAAAAGGCTAGGGTTAAATGTTTCTCTATAATCTGTTGTTTCCCCTGTTTACAAAAAGCTGTATATTACACACTAGGGATGTAATTTATGGTGGTTGTCTGTGGAAAAAACAAAAAAACAAACGAAAATCCATATTTAAAAAGATCACTTTTTTGTCTTCCATCAAGCCTCTCCAATGGCAGCTGTGTTTGGAAGCACTGAGAATGACTCTGTTTGTCGCACATGTCTCTCGTAATGATTTGAGTTCAATCTGCTTGCGAGGGAGAGCTGGGAGATGTTATTTGCTCGTTTGTCTGTAATCATCCTAGTCTTTCCCCGCACATCTTT